AAGAAAAAAAAGTGTATTTTTGTGCGTGAGTGTGTGCTCTTTGCACCCCTCCCCTCCCAAAAACAAAAACAAAAACAGAAAAAACACACACAAAGTCGAAGGCACAAGCAATACAACGCAGTGACACTCAAGTAGCGAGAAAGAGCGGCGGAGAGCAAGCAAAAAAAAAACATGAAGGGCACGAAGACATTCACTCAAAAGCACCACCACACCCGGCACGTCACACTCTCTCTTCGCTGGAAAAGTGGAAACAATCCCCGACTAGAAAGAAAAGAAGAAAGCAACGAGTCAGCAAAAAATTCTAAACCCACACAGCTTTCTCCCACGTCCTCCCTTTCTGTTCTTCACCCTCTGCATCTTTCCTTCTCGTTACCTCATTTCCCTGTGCAATGTTCATTATCTTCTTGTTTACTCATTACCCTTTACGTCTACAGTAAATTCCATGAACCGGGAGGATAGGCAGAGTTAGCAAACCCCTGAAAGAAAAAGAAAAGAAAAAAAAGAAGGAGCTCCCAGCAAATAATGTGGAGAAACGAGAGAAGACGAGAAGCACACACACATACAACACAGGCACAGACACACAGAGAGCGAGAGCGAGAGCGAGAGAGAGAGAGAGATGCGCATTAGTGGTTCCTACCGCATTGAAGCGCCGAGCTTTCCCCTTCATCCGGATATATTCACTCAATCTTTAATCCATTTTCTTTCCGTTTAATTTATTTATTCGACTCTCACTGCTGCTGGACAGGCATAGCTTGCGGTTGTGCTGCAACGACTTGCTGCTGTTTTTGCTGCTCCTGCGGCTGCTGCTGCGGCTGCAACTCCATGCAATTAGGAGTGCTGTTGCCGTTATTCGGGTTGTTATTATTGCTTAAGTTGTTGCTGTTGTTGGCGCCCCCCCTCATGCGGTACGGGTTCCCCTCCCCGCCGCGCTGGTTGCCACCGTGCGGCACTGCAGTGAGTTCCTCGGAGCTATGCGCAAAGGCGCAGTTGTCGCCCCAGTTGCAAACACCACCACGTTGAATGTTCATGCACATTTTTGTCTTCAGTTTGGTGCGGTCAATGCCACGTCGCACACGCCCACGATACATTTGTCCTTGGTTCATTCTTTGCAGCACCTCCGCAGGGATTTGCCAGTGTGTCGTGCGGGTGTTGTGATCAATGTAGTATGGGTCTCCCTCCGCGGAGTACGCCATCTGCCAACCAACGGGGAGCTGCACTGTGCCGTAGGGTGCGGCCATACCACGGGCATAACGATTGGGGTAGGACATGGTCTCAATGACTTGGTGGTAGCTCTGCTCCTTACTTTGGTTGCTTGCCTCTTCCTCCTTTGTGATACGTGTGTTCACTTGGAAAATCCGCTGCTGTTAGATGCAGAAGCAGAGGCAGCGTGGGAGCAAGTTGCAAAAATATATATATTTATATAATAAATCAAACACGCAACCACGAATAAAGTACTGTAATGGTGTCCCCGGAGCCACGAGGCAGACATGATCCCGCTCATCGCACGCTCCTTGCAGCGTCGTTTACTTTAGTGTGGTTGGTGTAATGAGCGTGCAGGGGCAGGAACCGCGTTGCCGCGGCCGCAAGCTTTGGAAACGCAACGGCCGCACGCCCTGTTGCCCAACGCTGCCGCTTTACCCGTCGTCTTATGTTACAAGTCAAATCTTACGGAAAACAAAAACAAATATATATATATATAACGGGGGGTGCGTGACGCGACGGCTCACACGAACGCACCACGCAAGAAGCAGAAGCACTTGCATGGCGTTCACTTCTTCAGGGTGCGGTACAACTTCTTACGCGTCGGCGCCTTGGCGTTGCCCTCGGCACTCGCTGCGTGCTTCTCAGCGTCAGGTTCCTCGCGATGTCGTCGCAGCGCCTGCCGCATGGTGGGATCGAGCCCGCTGCCGCTGCGTTTGCCCTTCTCGGGAACGTCGCTGAGCCACGCCTCAGCCTTCAAAAAGACGACGTTCTTCATGACTTCACCCAATTTGGCACTTCCGCTTTGGAGCATTGCTTCGAGCACAATGCGGCCGGCCCACGGCGAGACGGCCAGCTCAAAGACAAACGGCTTCAGTTCGCTCATCAGCTGCTTGCGCTGAGGCTCCAACTGACGGCCACGACACTCACGAAGAAGTGCCTGGATGACATAACAGGCGTGGCTGTGAAGGGCGTACGACACGATGGCCCTGGAGGTAACCTCGTAATGCTTCTTGCGGTTTATTTCTCGTTGCTCGCGACGAGAGGGTTTTGCCTTCTCTGTCGCTTTGGCGGCGTCGTCCTCGTCCCCGTCCGCATCAGCATCGTCGTCAGCCTCTTTGCCCTCCTGCTCCCCATCCACACAACCCTCGTCGCCGTGTGGCTCGTCCTTATTCCTCTCCTCCTCTGCCTCGCGCAGCAGGGCGTTGACAACCGTCACCACGGCCTCGTCCGAGGCGTAGGCTAGAAGTTTCTGCATCACACGCGATCCTTGTGCGAAGGAGAGCATCGCATGCATGTCGGAAAAAACGTCCAGCAGCGCGTTCACCAGCTCCTCACGGACCGCGCCGGCAGCGCCGTACTGCAGCATTGCCTGAATAAGATAGGAGGCAGCGTTGTGCGTCACCAACCGTGGCAGTTCCGCCCTAATGCTTCCCAGCATCAACCGCATACTGGTCACGTCCTCAGGGAAGCACTCCAACAACTTCTGTAGCACGGGTGAAGAGACAGGGTTCTGTGAAAGCTCAAGGGCAGCCCCCGCCAGGCGTTTCCTCTGCTCTGCCGTGAGCAAGGCGCCATGAACCTCCATCATCGCACGAAGCAGCATTGTGCGTGCCGGATCCCGCGCCACGTCGAGTATGTCAAGCCCCGACCCATTTGCAGCCTCCGCGCCTGTGGCCGTTGTCGCTGCCGCCCAAAGGCGCTCTTGGCTTTCTGGGAGAGTCTTGATTGCTGCAACTGCTATAGCCACCGCTGTCTTGTGCGTCACGATGCGCTCAAGGAGACCAGGGGCGGCAAGCAGGCTCTCCCACAACTCCCTCTTTTGCGCAAGATCGCCCTGCTCGAAGACCGTCACGTAGGCGTGATAGTGACGTGGATAATCCCGCTCGGCGGCGTTACCGCTATTTCTCGGCGCGGCGCCCCCAAAGTCGGGCAGGGCAAACTCGTCTTCCGCAGTCGTCTCCTTTCGCGACTGCAAGTATTCGGACGCGAACTCGCAGAGGTGGGCGCAGAGCGCGTCCTTTACCGTCGTCGAAACTAGAGGATGCTTCAGAAGCGCAGACACCGTCATGTTGTCTTCGGCGGGGCGGAAGAGCGCGCCGACCACCGCCTCCTCCACGTCAAGCTCCCCGTCGGTGGCAAAGACGGCCTGCGACACAGCCCGCCAGCCGTCCTCAGCGGATTCCATGTACTTCACAACCACGCGTTGCCCGTAAGGGTGCACGGCTAGCGACGGGATATGCGGCAAAAAACGCTCCTCTACCACCTCCCGAGAAACGGGGTGCTCCATGATTTTTTGCGCCACATGGTTGCCGAAGGCATGTTCACAGAGACGTCTAAACTCATCGTCTTCGGTGTTAAGCACAAACATTTCGGCAATCTCCCGCTTTTGTTGAACAGGAAGATGCTCCAGCATCTCCTGAACAATGGTGTTACCAACAGGGGACAAGGAGAGATCTATAATTTTCCGACGCACATGGTACAGCATTTGTACCCGTACCAGTCCGTCACACTTCGTGAGAAGAGTGAGTAGTAGATAGTGGGACGCCTTGCTCAGGCAGAGCGAGTAGGTGTTGGGTAGGATCTTCTGCACCACCTTGGCCCGCTGCTCCGGCTTACCGTAGAGGAGAATAGCCTCCACCTGCTTTAGCGGCATCGACTTTCCCGTCGCGGCTCGCTGTGAGGGGTTTTTCAAGAAGTCCAGCCGCATACCAGGCATGTTTTGCTGCTATTCTCCTTTCCGTTCGGCTCGCAGAAATTGGGTTTTGTTTTGTTTTTCTTCTTCTTCTGTATGATGTTTTCGCTGTGGTCAGGCTTCCTGTCTTGTTCGCCTTTCCTGTTCCTGGCAGAATGTGTGTCACTGATGTTTTCGCGCCGCCTTTTTTTATTTTCTTTTGTCCTCCTTTTTCGATGAATTACTTCAATTCTTGTTGTTGTTTTTGCTCCCGCTTCGTTATCTCACGCAGCTCTCTCTTCTGCCCTTCGCCATACACACGCAGAAGCAGAAAGTGAAGTCGTCCGAGCAGCAGCAGCAGCAGCAGCAGGTGCGTCCTTGCAAGAAACACGCACGCGCATGGGCATGTTGCCTAAGCGCGATGCACGAGGGAGACACGAGCGCGCGGCCGCGTGGCGTATTTCGGCGGTACTGCATGACACATGAGCAGAAGCGCAGAAAAGACAAACAAACAAACAAACAAACAAACAAACAAACAACAACCACAACCCCAAGGCGGGATGGGAAAGTTTGTGTTGAAGAAATATGTACAGAAAGCCATCGTGCGCCGCCTTTGCTGCACTCACCCAGCCGCACACACGCCGAGTTACATTTACATCAACTCCGTCCGGAAGGGCACCGTGCACGCAACACAAAAACGTCGCAGATGAAGGCCAATAAAATAAAATATAAAGAAGAAGAAGAAGGGAGCCTTGAAGGCAGCCTTTGGCACAAGACTGGTGCGTGGTGCCGGTGCGCCGCAGCTAGAAGGAAAGAAAAAAAAAAGAAACATACACACACACACAACAAAAAAAAAAAACAAGCGGTGCAAAAAACAACATACAAAAGTCTTGAAGAAAAATAAAGAACGAAAAGGAAAAAAAGAAACAAAAATCCGAGGAAGCTCACATACATTGCACCCGGTTTGTTTCCTTCGCTCCTAGGCGGTGCTTGGCATACGGACACCCACGTAGTAAATCTCACCATACTTGGTGCCGCTGATCGTGCTCGCCTCCTGTGCTGCCTGCTGATACAACTTCCAGACGGCGGCAATCTGATCCCGCAAAAACACAGACCTGGATGCTGCTTCCAGCTTCACCAATCCATGCAGGTGTGGGGCATCTTCGCCGACAACGTGAGCCGCACCGGGCCCCGTGGCCTCGCCAGTTGAGTTGCAAGACCACCAGAGACCTTGCATGAGGTATATCGGACACAACGGCATGCGACTAGCAGAGACAAAGGCCTGCGCGGCACTGCCTGCGTTGCGCCCCTCGCAGGCCGCCAGCAAACACTCCGCTTCTGCAAGAGCAGCGAACCCAGGATTATGAAGCCCTGCGTAAGAATCACGCTCAAGCGCAGTACTCAACACAATGTTTAGCATTGGATACAGTGGCGGGCCGTTGGAGTCACTGTCCCACGAGCTGCTTTTCTCATCACGTGCATCAAGTTCCTTGCGCGACTCCAAGTCACTGTCATGACCAACGCCATCGCCACCTGCAGGACCATGCAGCTGCAGGGCACCCGGCTCCGCCTTGGCTAGGGTGTTGTCCGCCCTGTTCAACTGCGCCTGAAACCTGAATTCTCGCTCCTGCAGCTGCTTTATTGCAGCAATTTCATGCATTACAGCATCTTCATTTTCCAAACTGGCTTCTCGCTCCTTCAGCAGCTTTATTGCAGCAATTTCATGCGTTACAGCATCTTCATTTTCCAAACTGGCTTCTCTCTCCTGCAGCTGCCTCACTACGGCTATTTCATGCTCAACTGCCGCTGCATCTTCAACTCCAGCTTCGCGCCGCTCCAGCTGCTTTATTGCACTCATTTCCCTCTCTACAGCGTCTTCATTTTCCAGCTTCGCTAAGATGGCGTCACGTTTCTGCAGTTCCTCTAACTTCTCCTCCATGGCTACCTTTTCGGCCCTCTCTCGTTTCTGCGCCTGCTGCATTGCCTCATGCTGCTCGTCCACGGCAAGTGCTATAATCGGAAGCCACTTTCCCGCCTCCTCCGCAAGAAGTCCTTCACGTGCGGCCCCCTCCTGCTCGACAACGTCCTTTACTGACGTGCGACCCTTGAGTTGGCCGTACCTCGAGCTCTTGACGGATGCCCACGCCATCCTCCCCTCCTCCATGTAGGAGGGCTCTGGAAAAACGTCCGGCCACGACTCCAGCTCGGGGCACACCTTCGTCTGGACTTTGGGCACAAGGTTCCTGGATCCGCGTCCCCGATGAGTCACGCGGTGTCCTCCCACTGGTTTCCGCGGCTGCATTCGACGCTGCTCACCACCCAAGCAGGCGGGCAGACGCATTCCAAACGGGCGCTTCTTCTTGAACCAATCCAAGATGCCCGCTAGTTCCCCGGCCTCCTCATTCATAATGCTGGTACGTCCCTCCTTGTGCGATGGCATCAATTGGGAAATGCTTCTTCGCATTGCCTCCTCCAAGCGTTTTTTAATACAACGGCCGACCGTATCCATTTCAATCAGGTAACACATGCGCAGCCTGTTTTCTTCGCGTTCGTACGCACTTCGCGCCTCCTCCTCCGCGGACGGGATATCCACTTCAAGGATGACGCTGATGCAGTGCAGCACCTCCACCCACAACCGGGTCGACTCAAACTGCTCAGCGAACACAATGGTCTCTCTCGCCTCGGATTCTTCCGTGAAGAGGCGACGCTGAGCCGCCGCCTCCTCCTCAAATGTCATTTCTTGTGGAGCTTCCGCCACCGCCAGCGCAGGCGTAGACGCGTGTGCCTCCCTTTCGGGGCTCCTTGACGCCAAGGCGGCCCTCAGCATGCCGCTTACAACCGAAGGATACGCCCGCTTTTGCACAACGGGGAGGTACGGGCTTGGGGGCTCGAGCGGCTCCCAGTTGATGAGGGCCGGCTGATCCCACAAGGGCAGCTTTAACAAGGGGCATTTGAAGTCGCCCCGCGCAACGTCTGGCTTCTCATCGCGGCGATTGCGAGGTGGATGCAGCATGGAAGAGGATGATTCGAGGCCTTCTTCTGGGTTGCTGTGGAGTCACTCTCTCACACCTATAACACACACACACACACACACTCGCGCACGCAGAGGGAGAGTGAAAGGAAAACAGGGAATAATAGACGCCGACGCAAGGGAGAATGGGGGCGGGAACCGGCAGTCCAGCGAGGCGGTCCAAACAGGAAGAGCGGCACGCATTGCAGCCGACGCCTTTTGTCCTCCAATGGGACGCCGCCAGTACTTCCAGGAAACAGCAGCAGCGGCAGCAAAAACAACAACCACAACCACAGCAAATGAAAAATAAATCAGACAGCTAGTCCGCGCCATTTTTTTTTCTGCTTTTTTCCCTTTGCTCCATCATCCCCCCTCACCAATAAGCGCCAGACAAACACACACACACGCACGCACCTCCACACCGCAAGGACACAACAACCCGTATGTATGCATCAATCCCTCTTTTACTATTGGCCAATGTTTCTCTCAGTTTGGAATTACCCCAAAAAAAGAAAGAAACAAAAGACAGGCGAGAGAAAGGAAGAAGAGAAAAAAAAAACGCGGCGCATATTTCTCAGTGCCGGTACGTTACAGGTACCCCGTTTTTCCCGAGTGCAGTTCGCCTGGACCAAAGAGCTTGCATGGAACCGGTGGCCATCATGGTTGGTTCGGACTGGCCCCAGAAATTGGGGTCATCCCCCATATTTGTGGCGCCGTCCGGACGGTGGCGTGCACGAACGCGCAGATCGGACGGCTTCTTTGCATGATACGCAAGAACAGCCTCTACCTCCTCATCCGGTGGAGCAGCTGGCTCAGGAAGTCCGCGAGACTCGTAGAACTCCTGCACCTGAATGTCCCACTTCGTCTGAAAAAAAGTGACGGCGCACGGGTCAGGAGGAAGCACCGCATCCACCTCATGAAGAGTTGCTCCAGCCGACGCCGAAAACCCCTCTCGATGAGGCGCATGGAGACAGAAATCAGTACGAGCTGTAAAGCCCTCCTCCGTGTCATCCATTACAGCCGCTATGTCACTCGCGTAACCAGACTGCTTGAAGAGCATGCATAGATGCCTAGTAGTCCCTGCGTCCTCCGTCGGCAGCGGAGGGACGTATGGCACGGCAACATCACCCTTTTTGTCAGCGCCGCGCGTATACACCACCGCTCCATTTGCCACGGGTGCACCTGGGCCAGTGCCGCCACCAGGAAGATTCACCACCATGTAATTAAGGAAGAATCCCTTTTTCCTTCGCCCATCCACCTCGGCGGGAACGCGATAGGGAAAGTCGGGGGAGGCTATCACAAGCGTGTAAAATTCGGCGCCAGTGGCAGCCTCCTTTGCCTCACCCTCTTGCTCCTCAAAGAAAAAAATAGAAGGCGGATGCTGTAGGTCGGTCAGCTCAATGTAATTCCCGCAGTGGGCGGTCATCCAGAAATTGCGCTGGGTCAATTCGGTGACGGGCTGCGGCGGAGGCAGAGCCTCGCCCGTCTCTTCGCACCGGCGGGCCCGTGTGGCGTACGTCCCTGGAAATACAACCGAGAGATTCACGTCCTGACGCACGTGTGGTATATAGTGCGGCAAAACCTCGTGTTTGCGGAGGTACCTTAGAGAGCGCCGACGGTGGGATTTCCACGCCAACGAGTCTGCGCGTGGGAGCAGCAATCGGTGGTCCTCGTCCGGAAGCGGCGGGTACGAAGTCCGCTCAAAATCGGCCGCATTCCAGTAAATAAAGAAGTCTGGCGGCGGTGCAATATTGAAGAGATGCGGAGTGTCCAGGTCGTTCTCGTACACGGGGTACTGAAACATCGAGTCGCTCAGAACAGTCTTTTCGTAAGGGTACTGAAAGTCATGCAGCGCCTGTGGCCGCGGGAGTTTTTCAATCTGCCGCGCCTTGCGGTCCGCCTCCCGCTGCTCCCGCGTCCGCGCATCTTTGGTGCTCACCTTCGTCTTCCACCCGGGCATGTGGTAACCGCGCAGAAGGGCCGCCGCCGCCGCGCTGTGTCTGCGGTACACGGCACTGCCACTACCAACGCGCCGCATCCCCTTTGGACGGTCCGGTGCTCACCCCACAGCGAGGTGGCGACAAGCACGCACGAATAGACCGCAAGCAAAGGCGAAGAAAATAACAATAATAACAATAAAAAAGGATATGAGTGACTCGGGATACCACGATCTCCTTTACTGCTACTATGAAGATGTAAGCGGCAACAGGAGGAGGGGGGGGGGGGAAACACCAGCAACAACAAGAAGGGGTGTGGAGGGAAATTAGCGCCTTTGACGTCAGAGATGTAGCAACCTGCGCAATCCGCGATGCACAGTTGGATGGGCAGTTGCACAGAGACTCAACACATAAGACACAGCTAGATAGAGAAAAATATAGGAATACATATATACATACATACATGCATACACATATTTTTTTATGCATTATATATATATATATATATATCACGGAAAAAAGGTAACGAAAAGAAAAACACACACACACACAACGAAAAAATAAAATAAAATAAACTGGTCTTTATAGAGAGAGAGAGTTTGATTTTCATCACTTTCGGCGCAGGCGTGGATAAAGCAAAACCAAGCAAAAACGAAAAAAAAAAATACTTCTACACACTCCCTCTGACGCATTTATCAGAGAATACGTCGCATCATCTCAAGAAGGGGTCTTCGAAATGGGAAGAAAAGTATTAAAGCTAAAAAGGATAAAAAAACACACACAAACACGGGATCCTCATTATGACTCCTAACACTATTACTTGGGGTCGTGCGCATCCATAAAACTTTGCCTATAGGACTTGCCCCTCCAATGCCGCTGTGGCGGGGCCTCCGCCAGTGCACCTCCTTGCTCAAGGACAGTATTCACAGCCTGCGAGGCGTCGGTGACCCGTCGCTGGAGCTCAAGCGTGAGACGCCGCCCCAGTTGCTGCGGACAGCTGTCACGTCGGTGTTTCTGCAAAGACTCCAGGTGCGCCTCAGAGTGCACCTCCGAGTACACCTCCGCCTCCACGGCCATGATGGCGTGTTCGTCCTCGGGGTCGCAAATGCGGAGGGCGTCATCTTCAAATCGCTTAAGCAGCGTGTAGTCATCGTAGATGGTCTTCCCAATAAAATGGTTGCATTTTAGCCACTCATCCCACTTGGAGAAACGCACCATATTCTCCCTAAAGTCCCGGTACGCCGCGTCATCGGAGTCGCCGTAGTATTCCCGCAGTGAGTCGTCAAACTCCAAGCAACTTGTTTGCCTGATGGGGTCGAGAGTGTCCTCCCAAGTGATACCCATCTCCTTCACAAACTCCCGCAGGGAAACATCGTTTGGCACATTGCCGTGACGACGGTACTTGGCCCGTTGCACCTCCACCACATGCAGAGGGAGGGGATTGACTTCCTCCGACTTGGTGAAGTCGAAGGTGCGGTCCAACTCCAGGGCCTTGCGGGGGGACGCAACAGAAAGCGCAAGGTTCAATACCTCCTCCTCCGGCACGGGCAGCGAAGGTTCCAGCCGCGCCATTGCCATTTAGTTTTGCCTTGTGTGCTCCTAGGAGGCAGATGCAGCGTCGCGGCAAGGTGGAGAGAAAGCAAGGGCTAACGTGTCCGACGGTGTTCCAACAAACGCACACACACACATAAAAAACACACACAAAAGATGCAGGAGACGCGCTTGACACGCTCACGGCATGTGGCTGCTAATATCCCCTCACCTCTCTCTCTCTCTCCCTTTTTTTTTTTCGTTCTATAGTTTCGGCCCACTCCTAGGCCCTCCTAGGCGGCGGGAGGGGCATACCCGCCTTTAATCGGGTGGTTGTTTAGATGCGCCACGTGGGGGGAAATCAACCAACACGCACGCGACGAGGAGGAGGAGGAGGAGGAGGCAGAAGAGGATAAGCAGCAGGTACGCAGCCATGCAGCCAGAGAAACGAACAAACAAAGAAACAAAAACAGCTCCAAAGGGGCAGAAGGAAAACTCAGGCGCCCTCAAAACAACTCATCGAGCAGCTCATCCTTCTCCTTTCCATGTGTTCGGAGAAAGGAGAGTAAATCCCTGCGCCTTCCTGCAAGCTTTGCCATGGAGAAGTACTCAGCCGCGACTTCCTCCACCGCATTCTTTTCTGACCCAAACACGGGCGAGGAAGCAGTGTAGACAACAGGAAGAAACCAGTCGACGTTGTGGCCCTTCGCCATAACTTCCTTTGAGAGCAAGTGCGGCGGCGTCACCAGCGGAGCCTTTAACACGCATCCAGGCTTTGGCCAATACTGCCGCACATCCCAGTACCTTCTCAGGCGCTCCTCAAGGGAAACGACACGCATTCCGTACGGAGTCTCTTGCTGGAGGATAGCACTCATCTCGGCGTTGCCCCCGTGCAGCAACGACGCGAGTGAGGCTCTGGAGTCCGGTGAAAGCCTGTAATGCTTCTCGTGGGCGGCAATGGTGAAGAGTGACATGACAACTCGGCGTCGAACAATTTCTTCGTACGGGCAAAGCGCATCATTCGCTTGAAACAGGCTTATCAAGCTGGGGATAAGTTGCCCCGCAACGAACGCTTCATCTTGTAGCTCCTTCTCGATGTGGTCGTAGATAATTGGGTCTCCGCTCCAGAAGGCGCACTTCTGCAAAAAGTATGATATTTCATCCATAAACAGGTACGCTACGCGGCGCTGCTCAACCATAACACAGTCATTGAGGGTTATCACGAGGTGCGGGATGTTCGGGGGGGAGATGAGCGGGCGACCGCCACTTTCCAACACCGCCAGGTAAATAATAGGCAACAGCGTCGCATCCTTTGGAAGCGCCTCGTCTGGCGTGGAAAATATGTCTAACGCCGCCACCTTCCCTGACGTCGTCGCCTCATCGTCGTGCATGAACCAATCGTAGCTTTCCTTAGGTCCGTACAGAAAGAGTTTCACCGGAACGCACCCTGGTGCCTCCTCCGCACAGAACAATTTCCGGTCAATGTGCTCAAAGTAGGCTCTTTGGGACTGGGGGAGAGTTGTCAACGGCGGCGGCACCACCGTGTGCTCCGAGGGAAGCAGCGGCAGTGCAGTTTGCTCAACAAACTCACCAGAGTCGTCGAGGTGCCACCAGGTCACTGCCCCACGCTGCGCCAGGCGTGTTGCATTGTCGCAAATGGCACCGTCCTCCAAAAACAAGGGCCAAATCAATTTCTCCCCCAGCACTGGAATTGGCGGGCAAATGGAAGTGTCTTCACGATGAAATAGTTGCAAGTTTAAAATGTTTTGTGCAGCCACATCGTCCAAAGCCTCCTCCGCTTCTTCCCCGTCCACCTCAAGCTCAGGCTCTTGACTGCGGCCCGGCGACCCCTCCGCCTTGTGATCAAGCACCTCAGCAAAGGAGGAAACAAGCTGGTGGTACGCAGGCGACTCCATGTGGGTGCCGGGGCCGGCCCAGCCTGCCTTGAACGCTATCTTTGGCCTGGGGAAGCTGTTCCAGCGCGGGTCCGTCACAAACTTCAAGCCATCCTTGCCAGCAGCGTCGTACACAGGGGCGCTGCGCCAGCGACCAAGGCGGCAGGGTATACTCTTGTCCAGGAACCGCATCACCTCGTGTTCAGCCGCGTCCTGCGACGTCGTCTCTGGGATTTTTGGGACAATAACACAGCGCCACTTCTGCGACACGCCCGACAGCGGGCAGTGCGGAGGCAGCGGCACACGTGAGAGCACATCACGCAGGGGATAGACGCGAAGCCCGTGGTAGCGATCACCGCCGCCGTCCGCCGCCATGCCTGTCAGCCGCTTGCGCTTCCACAAAGTGTGAGAGGGGAGGCGGATGGGGCAAATCCTCGTCTTGGGGCACCTTGCAGAAGGCGGCGAAAACAAATCGGGAAAGAGAGAGAGAGAGGGAACGAAAAAAAAAGAGGAGTAAGAAATGCTAGAGCGAGGCAAACACCGAAACTACGCCGGAATGCCTCTCCCACATACTCCTTTAACCGCAACTAACAATATTAGCAACAGGTACCACTGTGAGCATAATAGTAATAACGAAGTGACTTTTTTTTCCCCTTAGTTCTCAGTTTGCATTATGCGGGATTCAGGGCTCCCCAAGTGAAGAGTGGGGAACGCTTAGTACAGCGAGCGTGTCGTCACCTTCGGTTGCCCGCGCCGCAGCAGCTTCCTGTCGCGCGGTGGCGCGCCTCGCAGCGGAGGACGATGTGACGGCTGCTTCGCCGCCACTCGTGCGAGCTGCCCCGCCTTCTGTCCGGAAGGAGGCACTGCCCCTTCTTTTCCCGCCGCCTCCGCCCCCTCCTGTTCTTGCTGCGCTGCCCGCTCAGCATCCCGCTCCGCCTTGCGACGTTTGGCGTACGACTCCATAATGGCCGTCATGTGCTGGTCCTCCTCCCGCATGCACTTCCGCGCGACGAAGCGCCCGATGCGCCGCTTCTCGCGCTGAGCGCGGTTCGTCCTACTAATCCGCTCGCGACGCTCCTTTCGACGCTGGGAGCGGGTCTTCATCGGGTCCCCAGACCGCGCCAGGCGATTGCCCCGCATGGCCTCGTGGCGCTAAACTGTCCGTGGGAGTGCTGCCTGTATGTAGCTGCGTCGACTTGGCGGCAGACACGGCGAGGTGGAGAGCCGCGCGCCACTTGCCCCCTTCCTGGCGAGAACACAACCGCCCACGCGCCGCGATCGGCGATGCGGGGAAAAGCAAAAAGGTAAAACAGAAGGCGCATGGGAACGAAAAAAACAAAAACAACAACGGCGAACGCCGCGTGAGTCACAGTAGAAGCAACAACAGCGGCACGCAGGGCTTCCTTGTTCTTTTTGTTGTAGTTTGTGCGGTGGCGAGATGTTTAACAATACCAGAAAAATTCCACCATGTGAGAGAGAGACGGCGCGCGCGCACACATACACATACACGCAGACGCGCTCGCTCAGCGACGATGACGCGTCACGGTGTCCACGCGGCGCGGCGGGGGTGCCCGACCATGCATCCCCAGCACGAGGGTGAAGCCATCGAGACCGCCTGGCATCTCCGCTTCAGCGTGGCAAAGGAAACGAGCCAAAACAAGTCAAAAAGAAGGAAGACGCCAACCACCCGCCCCTCCCGTCTTCCCTTCCACGGTCATGCGCGTACTTTCCTCTCTCTTTCTCTAGTCAGTACGTCTCCTCTTGTTATGGTTAACTTCCGTTGCCGCCTTCTCACTCCGGCCAACAAAATATCCGGCCTCATAGCCCGCGCGATAGTGCGCCGACACCAGACGTTGAATGTCAGCCGGCAAACCCTTCACCGTATCCGGCAGCAGCGGCGCCGAGTTTAGTGCGACTGGGACTGTATCAGCGGCAGGACAGTCTTCTTTCTTTGATGTGACGGACACGGACGACGACGACGACGACGACGACGAAGGCATCTCCGCCGTCTCCTCGTCTGCGGAGGAGGTGATCACGTCATCCTCGTCAGACAAAGCAGGGCGGAGTGCAGGAAGCTGCGGGGCGGCCTCCTCCTCCTCCTCCTTCTGCTGTTCCAATTGCGTGTTCCACAGGCGGATGAGCTCGGCGTCATCCCAGAGGCCTTCTTCATCCATTCCGCGCTGATACACCGCCGTCGCCCCTCGCGAGGAACCGGCACTCCTTGCGCCGCTCCGACTCATACAGGGCGCAGACAGAATGCCTTTCCACTTTCTGCCTCAGGCGCCTCCCCCTGCCGGCTTAGCCCAACTCCTTGCCTCTCCGCACCCCTCCAGTGGGATAAAAGACGGGCGGTAGAGCACGCCAGCAAAAGCAAAAAAAAAAAGTAAACGACGATAATAATAATAATAAACAGTTCAATGCATAGAAATTTCTTCATGCTGCAAAAACTTCATTGACCCCCAGTGGACCCAGTGCAACGGGCTGGCACGCATAAAATACACTTATCTCCACCCGCAAAAAAAATAAATAAATAAACGCCGCATCAACACACACACACACACACTTCCTTCGGCGCAGCGGACAGGCGCCTCGCCGCACCTCCTCCCGCCCTCTCAAGTGCATGCCCGGCCTGTGCCCGGCGCCGGCCGCCACGCACTAAAGCGGCGCAGCGGCGCAGGGGGAGGGAACCCACTGCACGGCCGTGGCGTCCCCGCCGCTGGGCCGCGAGCCTTTTTTTTCTCTTCTCCCACGCCAGGGCGTGCGGGCGCACCGCGCGCCTCCTCGTGCCTGCACCTCCACCGGGGAGGTGAAAGGAAAGTTCCCCGCCTCGGACAAGTGCGGACCGCGGGCGCAAACACGAGCCAACCCGCGGGACGCTCACAAAACACACGTCCTCAACTAATGGGCCAACGGGCCCAACTGAACCAAACGGCCCTCGCATGCCGCTGTCGAGGCGGAGCCCAGACTACTGCGCGAGACCTGGGACTCTCAACACCGCCAGAAACAAAAACAAACACCACGACGAAAGGCGCAGAAACTGCGCGGCGGGTACAAACTACAGGAAGCAAGCAAACGCATTTCCCGCCGTCGTCGCCAAGGGGCCCACAACAACGCAGTGAGGCGCATGCACCACAGTGCGAGCGGCGTCGGGTGAAAGCCAACATCGCGTCTCTCCGGCACCGCCGTCATTTGCCGGTTGTGTCGCCAGCAGTGAATGGCGTTAGCGGGACACTGAAAAGGCAAAGACACATCAATGCCGCATTCTAAATAAATATATATATATAAACCGACTCCGGTCAACCCAGAAAAAAGAAAGGTGAGGGGGGGGGGAAAGAGACACGTAAACATATTCGAGAAACAAAGGGAGGGGAAGGGTCGTCAACGACTGCTTCTTCCTGCACACGCACCCACGCACCTCCCCGGAGTGAAGACCAAGTGCATTTCAAAAGTGCTAAATATCCAACCAGAGAAGGGACTAACGAAAATAAAATAAAAGAAGAAACGCACAGGTTGGTAGCCGAATTGATTATTTATAGTAGTAACTTCCCCACGCGCACCGCAGAGCCGCGACGAGGGTGCCAGTCATGCCGTTATCGTGAATCATCATTGAGTTTTTTTTTATTTTATTTTTGCATTTCTCTCCTTCCCCCCCCCCCTTTTTTTTTTCGCTTTCCGCGACCTCAAAAGCCTTCAATGAGGCGGACAGCAAACTCCTCTGACATTTCCTTGCGAAAGAAGAAACCAGACACAGCACGCAGCCAACTACGTCTCACGAATTTGCCCCAGCAGCAAAGGCACAACAACGCAGCAAGGAGAGCAACGCAAAGCAAAAGTAAGTAAGAAAAAAAAAGAGGACTGGGGGATGCAGCGCACAACAGAGGGCATTTCATGAAGGAAATAAGCAGGCAAGGTAACATGTGTAATCCGCCAAGCACAAAAACGCAAAAAAAAAAGAGGACTGGGGATGTTTTGGGCATTCCAAATCTCATCAGCCACCACAAAGCAAAAAAAAAAAAAGGAAGCAAGCAAACGATCCATAGCTGCAAACAGAGGAACATAGAGGAAAATAAACGCATGAGGAGGCCGAAACCAGAAAAACATAAAAGGCTAATCCATTTTCAGCGCTGCAATCAGCGCAGATAGCCACCGGTCACGCTCCTGCTCAGTCCGGGTAGCAAATACGATAGACTGTGAATTTTGCGTAGAGATGGCGAAGGCAAACTGTGCCTGAACAGAACCAATTTCTCCACTTGTTTCAGCTGTGACCGGAAGGTCAAAGACGACGGGCGCAACGGCGTTGATTGCTTGAAGTGGGACCTTCTTACTGCGTTCACCGGAGCCCGCCGCCACCTTGCCCTTCGCAAGCGTCATTGTCAGGAACCCATCTGCAAGAATCAGGTAGCGTTCCTTCCACTGGCCACCAGCCGTCTCCTTGTAGACGGTGCTCTCAATGCGGGGAGAGGTGCTTGTTGCCATCTCCCGTTCCGTCTCCAGGTGGATCACCTCCTCGCCCTCCGCTATTCCGCTCAGCACCAGTGCCTGCTCCTCCAGTGAAAGATTATACTCGGGAAACGACCCCGCAAACTGTGCAGGGTCTGCTTTATACTTACTCTCCATTTCGGTATCCGAGGCAATCATGCGATCCACGCGTTTTTTTAATAAACACAGGTAGTGCTGCATCAGTGGTGCCTTGAGAAGTTGGGAGGCGCTCGGCCGTTTCTCAGGATTCTCCTGCAGAATGGACTCCATAAATTCCCGCATCTCTCTCGAGATGTAGCCCATGTTTCGCTGCTCCTCACGCTCCTCGGGTGAGGTGCCGGCGTTGTCAGGAAGCGTGGGGGGAAGCCACATGGCACCAGAGAGAACAAGCTCCCTCATTTTAGGAATAGAGTCCGCCTCGAATGGCCGCCGCTTCCCCAACAGTTCACAGAGAACTATTCCAGCTGCCCAGATGTCTGCCTTTTTGCCGTAACGCTGCCCTCGCCACATTTCTGGGGCGAGGTAGTAACTTGTGCCAAGGAAGGTACAGGCTATTGGGTTTGAGACTGTACAGTCGTACTGCTTTGAGAAACCAAAGTCACCAAGTTTCAAAAACCCGTGCGTGGTTAAAAAAATATTCGCCGCCTTTACGTCACGATGGATCATCCGACGGCGATGAATATGGTCAAGGCCAAGTAGCAGCTGCACAAAGTAAATTCCGGCCTCCGTCTCCTGGAGACAAAACTTCGTCGGCCCATTATAAAGCATGTGGTACAGATCTCCTCCATCCGCAAACTCCGTTATGATGATAATTGTCTCATCTTCGTCGTCTATAAAAAAGTGCTCAAAGTACTGTATAATCCCAAAATGGTAATTACACGCGAGGCACATGATTTCCGTCTGGGCATAGTGTCTGTCACTCGGCGACATGGAGGTCAAATTCGTCACCTTGGCTACAAAGAAGCGAGGGGCGTCATCGCCAGCTCGTTTTCCTCTCTGCAGATTGTACCCTGCTTTCGCGGCCTGGCTTCGTGATGGCATTGGGTACATGGGGTTGCGCTCCACAATATACGCCTCACCAAATGCTCCCCTCCCGATTGTTTTTTTCTTTCTGTATCGCGCCGTCTCGCTGTCGGCATGTCCCAGCACTTCCTCCAGCGAAACGGGCTCAGAGCGATAGGAGCACTTGCTCGTCTCACCATCCCCAATGGGAATGGGGCGCTGGTCATCCTCTCCGTCGGCTTTTATCGAGGCCAACACTGGTAGTGTCAAACCCGAATGCATGTGACCATCCTCCGGAGTGCCCGTTGCCAGGGCTCTACGCCCGTCCTCCCTCAACTTGGCAGCGCCGCCGCCCATAACTCCCAGATGTTGGTCGTATTTCCAAAGAATAAGAGGCCCTCAACGTGAAATATTATGTGTGTGTGTGTGTGTGTGTGAATGCGTGTGTGCGCACAGATCCCTTGATGCGGGCCGCCGCAGAGAATGAATTGTCGCGCTTGCTTGCTCCTTCCCCAAGTGTCCCCCCCCCCCTGAGAACCGTGTAGGAATTTAGATGTGTTCGTCCGGGACCTTTTTACTACCCCCTCGTTTCCCCGCTTTCCCGTTCCCTCCTGCTACTGCTTCAAGCCCACGCGTTATTTTACTGTATTTCGTTCTCTACGCCTGCAACCGACTGCTCCCCCTCCTCCTCCCAGCTGTTTGAGTCCCGCCGCTCCCAGTGCTACTTGGCCTCCTTTCCTAATCGCTCCGTCTTCCCTCCCCCTCCCCACCCCCACCCCCCCCTCTCGCCTTCTGTGGGACGCGCCGTAGAGCTTCGTGGGTCGATGGACAGCGCACGTCGGCCGCTCACTCGCTTTGCACGGCCGCCGTGACCCTGGCACCACCGCTCCCTCGTCAGAGCCTGTCTCTTCTCCTACCCTCTCCGAATCTCCCTGGCTGAAAGACACGCACACACAGGGAGAGCGTCGGACGTCCGCGGCCCACTTACTAAAGAGAATGTGTGATTGTGGGTGCTGTGCTGGTCGACGGCTACGCCACAAATGCGGCTTCACACACAAACACCACACACCCTCCAAATGCTACAAAAACCAAATTCTTTCAAGCGCACCCAGTGCGGCATGGCAACAAGATTCAACACGAGATAGAGAAGTAGGGATCATACAAACAGAAACCCACGATATCATTCCCCAACACACACCGTGATAGAAAGGCAGAATGGACTGCGGTAAACAATTTTCTAGCCCCAATGCCTCCCCTCCATTATTATTTTTTTTTCCCCCGCCCCCTCTCTCTCCAATAACTTGTCCCTACCCCCAACCCACACACATACGCCCAATTCTCGTATCAATATATATTTCTGGGGAAGGGGGAAATGTTAGCATAAGTTCAGAAGCCAACGTGCGCAGATGAACCACAAAACACGGCCCATACCAGTAATAAACCAAAACTTGTAAAGGGATGACGCAAGACGTAGAGCCGTATCGTTCGCATCTCATCTCTGCTTTTTGTAGTTCCTTCTTGCCAGTTGGAGGCAAATACAATCGAAGTACTAGCCGCGGACGCAATAAGAAAGCACCGACCCTCTCCTCCCCGACCACGGGAACGCAATACGTTACTCGCCAGGAGCAACGCGGAAGAGAAGCGAGAGTGTAACAACAACTACAAATCACTGCGAAACCGCACGAGTTCACTCCTCCAGAGACAGTTCTCCGCGTGCTTCCAGTTGACAACGTTCCAAAAGGCCTGCACGTACGCCGCACGGTCGTTTTTGTAGTCAAGGTAGTAGGCATGCTCCCACACATCGCAGGCGAGGAGCGGCTTCAGGGTGGGCTCAGTCAGCGGGCACCCCGCGTCGTGCGTCTGGTAAACCTTCAGTTTGCCGGAGGCGGTGTCCTTCACGAGCCACGCCCAGCCCGAGCCAAAGTGGCCCACAGCCGCATTTGTAAACTCCTCCTTAAACTTCGCAAAGCTGCCGAAGGAAGCCTTGATCTCGTCGGCAACCTTGCCCGTCGGCTCGCCGCCTCCATTAGGGCACATGCTCTCCCAGTAGAAAGTGTGATTGAAGATCTGTGCCGCAAGGTTGAACACGGGGCCTTTTTCTGTCTTGATGATCTCCTCGATGGTCTTCCGCGCGAGCGCCGCGTTTGTCTGCGCCGCCGCGTTGAGCTTCGTC